TATAGGGGACTGATACAGGGTGCAGCTATAGGGGACTGATACAGGGTGCAGATATAGGGGACTGATACAGGGTGCAGTGATTGGAGACTGATACATGGCGCAGCTATAGGGGACTGATACAGGGTGCAGCTATAGGGGACTTTTGTTTGGAATAATAAAAAGTTTCTGAAGTGGATTCATGCAGTGAATAATACAGAAAACCATCGACACTGTTAAGCGGGACAGAACCAGCAGAAGAAATACACTGCCTGCTGCTCAGCTCTCTTCCTCTGTCCCAATCCTCCTCCTCCTCTCTCTCTCTCTCTCAGGATCCTGGAGTCCCAGCTCCTGTCTCAGCGCTCCCAGTGGGAGGGAGAGCTCTCTGCACTACGACAGCAGGCTCAAGGGCCCAGGCAGGAGGGAGGGACGTCGGACTTGGCCCTCAGCCCCCTGATTGACACCCCCTTGCCCCGCCCAGTGCAGGAGCAGCTCGCAGCCCTCGTCTCCGACAACATGGTGAGGGGAACATGGGGTCTACATGCTGCACTGTCCATGTGTGAGGATGACTTACATGCTGTGCATTGACGTGACTCCTGTGTCTGTTGTTGTCTGTTAATGCATTATGTTGATGGACCAGTAGGTGGCGCACCCCCTCCAGTGCACCATTATGGTGTGCAGCAGTAGGTTCTGTCCCTCAGTTAAGATGTTAAACTGAGTCCCAGGGATGTTTGCAAGAGTGGAGGTGCTACCCCTGGTATCCTTAGGATGTGCAGAGGGGCTGCTGTGTGTCCTGAGTGTCCTGTCTGTCCCTGTGTGTCCTCTGTGTCCTGAGTGTCCTGAGTGTGCTGAGTGTCCTGAGTGTCCTGTGTCCTGTCTGTCTCTGTGTGTCTCTGTCTGTCTCTGTGTGTCTTGAGTGTCCTGTGTGTCTCTGTCTGTCCCTGTGTGTCCTGTGTGTCCTGTGTGTCCTGAATGTCCTGTGTCCTGTGTGCAGGATCTGATGGAGCAGGTGGAGGCTGCAGAACAGGAGTGTCGCAGGCTGAGGAGGGAGCTGAGGGACCTGAGAGACACGCTGACACTAATAAACACTGGTCTGGCACCCTCTCTCTCACTCTCACTCTGCGCACAGTCTGTCACTGTGAGCATCACTCTGTATCACTCTCATTCTGTGTGCACTCTGTCACTGTGAGCATCAGTCTGTATTACCCTCACTCTGTATCACTCTCACTCTGTGTGCACTCTGTCACTGTGAGCATCACTCTGTATCACTCTCATTCTGTGTGCACTCTGTCACTGTGAGCATCAGTCTGTATTACCCTCACTCTGTATCACTCTCACTCTGTGAGCACTCTCACTCTGTGAGCACTCTGTCACTACGAGCATCACTCTGTGTTCCCTCCTTTCTCTGCGTCTCTCTGTCTCACTCTGTGTACCACTCTCTCTCTGTGTCTCACTCTGTGTAAGACTCTCTGTGTCTCACTCTGTATACAACTTTCTCTGTGGCTCACTCTGTGTACCTCTCTCTGTGTCTCACTCTGTGTACCTCTCTCTCTCTGTGTCTCACTCTGTCTCACTCTGTGTCCTCTATCCTCAGACCCAAGGTCTGCCACACCCACTGGAAAGGAGGGCTCAGCTGCCCAGCAGAAGGGGGAGCCGTCTCTGGGGCTGCTGGAGTGCAAGAAGAAGGACGAGGCGCAGCTGCTCAGGACGGTGGTCACAGGTGGGACGCTGGCGGGCTGCTTCTGGCCGCAGTGCTCTCGCAGCGCTGAGGCACACCGGTCCCTCACAGCGCCTCTCCTCTCCCGCAGACCTGCGGCCAGACACGGCGCTGTCCCTGCCCCCCGGCCTCCCTGCGTGCCTGCTCTTCCTGTGCATTCGCCACCTGGACTGGGCTGGGGAAGAGGCCCGAGTGCGCTCGCTGTGCGCTGCTGTGGTGAGCGCCATCAAGGGGGCGCTGAAGGTATTGCATGCACAAGACTTGATGGTTTTCTTTTTTTTTCCCCCTCAGCATAATCGTTAACTACTTTAAAGTTTTCACAGACTGACATAAATTCTTGTTTCTTTACTGGCCCCAACGAACATGTTTAAAAGTGACGGATATACTGTTATAAAACTCCCATCCCCTGCACCTGCTGATGTGTACTATTAAACAGTTAAAATCTCCAATCTGGTCTTCGTTTTTCTGTTGATATAAAGACCTTCAAATGTCATACAGTCACGCGAAGCAGTCAGTGCTTTCTCCTTCCTGTCTCCACTGTGCACTTTCTTGTTCTGCTCCTCCATGCTGTGATCTTATGTGTTTCGTCTGATCTCTCCCTAGAAACACAGTGCCAACCTGGACATGACGGCTCTCTGGCTCAGGAACAGCTTCCTGTTGACTGATCTCCTGACACAGCACAGCACACAGCAGGCCAGCGAGCAGGTGGGGTGTGTGTGTGCATCTCTGTGTGTGAGTGTGCATCTGTGTTTGTGTTTGAGCATTTTTGTGTGTGAGTGTGAATCTGTGTGTGCATCTCTGTGCGTGAGTGCATCTCTGCGTGTGAGTGTGCATCTGTGTTTGTGTTTGAGCATTTTTGTGTGTGAGTGTGAATCTGTGTGTGCATCTCTGTGCGTGAGTGCATCTCTGCGTGTGAGTGTGCATCTGTGTTTGTGTTTGAGCATTTTTGTGTGTGAGTGTGAATCTGTGTGTGCATCGCTGTGTGTATATGTGAATTTGTGTGTGCATCTCTGTGTGAGTGTACATCTGTGTGTTTGTGTGTGAGTGTGAATTTGTGTGTGCATCTCTGTGCGTGAGTGCATCTCTGCGTGTGAGTGTGCATCTGTGTTTGTGTTTGAGCATTTTTGTGTGTGACTGTGAATCTGTGTGTGCATCGCTGTGTGTATATGAATTTGTGTGTGCATCTCTGTGTGTGAGTGTACATCTGTGTGTTTGTGTGCAAGGATATCTGTGTGTGAGTGTGAATTTGTGTGTGCATCTCTGTGCGTGAGTGCATCTCTGTGTGTGAGTGTGCGTCTGTGTTTGTGTTTGAGCATTTTTGTGTGTGACTGTGAATCTGTGTGTGTATCGCTGTGTGTATGTGAATTTGTGTGTGCATCTCTGTGTGTGAGTGTACATCTGTGTGTTTGTGTGGGAGGATATCTGTGTGTGAGTGTGAATTTGTGTGTGCATCTCTCTGCGTGAGTGTATACCTGTGTGTTTGTGTGTGTGCATCTCTGTGTGTGAGTGTACATCTGTGTGTGCGCATGAGAGTGTGGGTGTGTCTCTCTGTGTGTGCCCATGTATCTGAGTGAACAGCTCTGTGTGTGATTGTGCATTTCTGTGTATTGGAGTGTGAATCTTTGTGTGTGCAGAGAGTGTGTGTGTACCTCTGTGTTTGTGTCAGTGAGTGTGGGCCTGTTTGTGAATATGAGTGTGTGTGTCTGGGTGTATTCAATAATCCATCTGATTCATGCACTATAGAACATCTGATTAATCCCCCCAAGAATGCAAATGGTTTCAACTCCCTCAGCTCCAGAGCACATCTTGAAGAGAACATTTTATTTTTATGCTTAATATATTTTTTCAGCACTTTTCCCTGGAGCCATCACGCTAAAGAGATATTTTTGTGAAAATGAAAAATAACAGCTTCTCAAAAGAGTATAATATTGAATTGCTGTTAATTGCTGACCAGACACTACCAAAAAATGCATAGAAGGCTTCTATAGGTTTCTGGATTTAATCTGTGACTGTAACCAGCTGAAATCTAGTTTGCATCTATTTGCACTACCACACTGATCGCACTGCCTTCTGACCTTTGACCCTGTCCCTTTGGGACCAGCTTGATTCAGTGGAGGAAACCCCACGGCTGACCTTCGACCTGAGTGGGACACGCCAGGCCCTGAGCAACCTGTCCATCCAGGCGTACCATCAACTGCTCGGCATCACAGAGAGCCGCCTCCAGCCCCTGATCGGTGAAGCCTGGCTGTCTGACCACCTGTCTGATCCTGCCTCAGTCTTTCTGATCGGCCATCTCTGTCTGCCAGTTTCTGTGTGACTGTCTCTCTCTGACACGGGCACAGTGTGGGTGTTTATC